CGGGTGTAACTTAATTGCTTTAAAAACTCAGTAAGGGATAATGTTTTTTTTTTGGTGTTTCAAAAAAAAAAAAAAGGTACAAAATTATGATTTTTCTTAGGAAAATATTTATGTCATAATGTTTACTAATGTTCGTGTTGTCATATTTTTCTTTATTGTTTTTGTTTCAAGGTTAATGATGGACCGACCTCCTTAGACTAGTTATTAGTGTGCAGGCTCAAGGTCAATGCATTTTTTAGATTTTTAGGGATTTTTTTAATGCATTTTTAATAATTTTACTAAAAATATGAAATTTTTAAAAGATAATAAGTTTTAAATGATAATTCTAACATATTTTTTTGAAAGGAAAATTTTTTGTAGATTTACAAGTTTAATGATGTTTTAAAATGAAGGTCAGAGAAGTTTTTAAATGTTTATACCCTTAACCTTCGTAAGAAGGGTATTTCTTGGTCATTCTGTTTCCACAATATAGCTTTCCGATACATATATACATATATTTTTATTCTAGATCCTTATAGATACTAAAGTCGATTAAGTCATGTCTGTCTGTCTGTCTGTCTATCTATCTGCCTGTCTGTCTGTCTGTCTGTCTGTCTGTCTGTCTGTCTGTCTGTCCGTCTGTCTGTCTGTCTGTCTGTCTGTCTGTCTGTCTGTCTGTCTGTCTGTCTGTCTGTCTGTCTGTCTGTCTGTCTGTCTATCTGTCTGTCTATCTATCTGTCTATCTGTCTGTCCGTCCCTTTAAAGTAGTTTTATAGATGTGTTCATTAAATTTGGCCAAATATGAAAGTTATGTTTATGAAAACATTTCCGAAAAGATTCTATTTGATTGTTTTACTTATGTTATGTAAATTTCAAATTTCTGCGAAGTGTGTTTATTATTATGGAAATAAGTTATAAATCTATTATTATGTTTAATAAATCATTTTTCAAATTTCTTTTTAAAATTCTTGATTAATTAAAAATTTATAACAGAAAGTTTACACATACAAAATGTCAATTTTAAATATATATTTTTGGACAAAATTGAAGTTGAATGATGTGTCATTGCTAAAGAATAAAATGACACACTTTTTCTTAACAATTTTTTGTTTTCCAAACAAAGTCTTTTGTTATTAAGCTGTTTTGCATAATATTTAAGAAATTATGTTTGGTTTTAAAATTTACAGCAAATATTAAACTTTTAGGTCAGTTAAGAGAGATTACTATTCTCTAATTTTGGCAGTGAATTGGAAGTTGTTAGAAGAGTTGAATTCGGGACATATAGAGTTTGAATAACACTTTTTATAATAAAATAATAATCCCTGTATTCCCTTAAATTATGTCAATCGACTCATGTTCACTTTTTAATGTTACGTCTGTCCGTTTGTCTATGTATCCGTATGTCCGTCCGTCCGTCTGTCCGTCCGTCTGTCTGTCTGTCTGTCTGTCTGTCTGTCTGTCTGTCTGTCTGTCTGTCTGTCTGTCTTTCTGTGAGTCCTTATAGGCCTTGCACAATTTTCAACCTAATTTTATAAAAGTCGAAGGAGAAACGTCCCACATTCGAATTTTGTCCCCATATAAAATCACTTTCGTTTGAAATTTTTCTTTTTTAAATTTCTCTGAAAGGAGCAACAAAACACAACATTTTCTTTAAAAACACTCTGCACCAAAACAAATTTAAAAGCTGCTCATCATCATCAGCTTCCAAGGAACATCAAACTACAACATGTTTGCAGAAATCATCAGTTTTTTTGGTCTTGATTACTCTTGACAACCTACATATCTCGGTTTTGAGAAATTGTCCTCCTGGCTATTCATGTGATGTCATCACACTTTGATGTGATCGCCTTTCTTGACGACCTTATATCACGGTGGTCTTTTTAAGTCACAGAGGATAAGCTAGAGGAGACTCACTACCTCAACTTTGTGAATAGCAAAGACCATGTTGCAGGTGACAAATTTCTGTACATATTGGACAACGGTCCACGTACAAGGCTCTTAAATCCAATGTTATTAAGTCGAAATGTCTTCTAAATTGTATTCAATCATTGGCCCAACTAACACAACATCACGATGAGTTGATATGAGTTCCAGGACATGATGGCATTCGGGGAAATGAAATATCTGATGTCTCTAGACTTAAAGGGAGATTCACACTCTGGGCTCTGGAACTCATGTGGTCAAATATTACAACTTGTAGAATAACGAAACTGCTCTGGCCCACTCTGACAACGTAGAGGACTAGTATTCAACGCGAGAACCAAGTATTCAACTAAATTAAGGAAGGAAACCATTCTCTCAATATAAAGGAATGGTAATTCTAAGGGTATAACACAGGCCTCCGAGTGAACTCGCAAACTAGCGAGCAAACCACGTAATCTAACCTAACCTACTTATAGGAAAAACACTGCGGAAAGTCAGGCATGACCAGAGTTATCCTCAGAATACAAAGAAGGGACCTTGATTGATAATACAAGGACAGAAATATCATGCATTTATCATCTAGACTTTTCATCTAACACATTTATAACCAACTCCCAGCATAATAATTTCTTCCCTAATACATGTATAACCTTCAACTTGCATTAGTCTTTAAACCAACATTTTTCTTTCGGGTATTGGATTCTACTCACATGCAGTTTATAATTCCTGGAGACTAGAGGTACTGATGACACCTCTATACCTCTGGATTTCAATAACATAAAGATGAGGACGATTCATCGATACAATTCGATGATGTATTAGTCTTTCAGTGATTCATCTTTGGATCGTTTGATGCACAAAACAATTACATTATCATACAATATTGAAATAAAATCAGGGTGTCTCCATAGGCTAGTTGGTGGAATGAAACTAACCTACCAACCGAATTCAACTAACCTCGTCAGTCGCCGTTCTAAAGAGAGAGTTCGACGCAACGTTCTCAACATTGCAAGAATTCGTTGTCGAAATCTAAATTTTATACACATCCGTTGTCCAAATGTTAAAAAACGTGGTATCACTATTGGCAACAATTTGTCAATTGTTGCAATGTTGTCAACATTACACGTGTTGTCGTACGTATGTATATACTTTGACAACGGATGTTATTGAAAAATTATAAACAGTTTGGTGTCAATTTGATACCAGGCGTGTATATTTCTTTTTCCCTCTGTGTAATCAGTTGTTCATTAATTGAAGAAAACCAAAGGTAAACAAACAAAAATCGATAAAATTTTAGTTAAATTTCTACAAAATTTTCTTGGAAAACTTTTGAAAGAAATAAAATTTTTTAAAAGAAAATCTCTCAGTTGCTCATTAAACAATGAAAAGTTGTTTTTTAATGACGAAATTTATTAGAAATTATGATAAAATTTGGAAAATTTTTAAAGATTTGCAAACTTTTGTGAGAAATTGTATTTTCTTTAAAGAAAATCTAGCAGTTGCTCCTTAACCAATGAAAAGTAGAAATTTTCTTTCAAAATTTTATCAAATTTAGAAAAATTTCTTAAGAATAAGAACATTTTTCTAAAGTTCTTTTAAAACTGTCAGTTAACCTAAGAAAATTGGAAACGATTTTTAATAAATTGTTTAAAATATGTTTGAAATTTGGAAAAACATTTTGTAAAACCAAAGAAAGATAGACAGACAGAAATTTTTTCCTTATTTTTGAAAAATTTCTTAAGAATAAGAAAATATTTTTCAAGTTCTTTTAAAACTGTTAGTTAACCAAAGAAAATTGAAAACGATTTTTAATAAATTGTTTAAAATTTGGAAAACCAAAGAAAGATAGACAGACATTTTTTCCTTTTTTTGAAAAATTTCTTTGAAATTTTTTCTTTCAAATTTGTAAAAATTTCTTAAAAAGAAGAAAATATTTTTCAAGTTCTTTTAAAACTCATTTTAGTTTTTCCTTAACCAAAGACATTTGAAACATAATTTTAAAAAAATTTCTTTGAAATTTGTTTGCAATATGAAAAACTTTGTAAGAATAGATTTCCTGGTGAACAACGAAAAGTTGTAGAAATTTAGTTTGAAAACTAATTTTAGAGATTTCCACTTTTCAAACGTTTTTCCATGAACTTTACGAAAATAAATTTCAGCGAAAATTTCATAACAATTTCTCATAATTTTCAAATTTTACATTTGGTTTTTAAAGTTTTAAACAATTTTTCTTGTCTTTTGCCACTTTTTTTCATAATATTTTGATTCTTTTGAAATTTTCTTTTAAGTTCAATAATTTTTTTAAAAATTTTCTTGAAATTATTAATTTCTTTTTTAGAAATTTCTGATTTTAACTCCAGTAACAATAATTCCTTTTGCATTTGATAATTTTCTTCAATTTAATTTCAAATTTTTACGTATTTTTTCTTTAGCTACAAAATTTTGTGAAAAAAATTTCGTCTTTAAAAACGACCGTCATTCACTTTGACCTCAACTGCTGCTCTTAGCAATTGAGAATGAATAGAGGATTTCTTAAAGAAACTTTAACAACCTAAACTCTGTAATATGGTTATAACTCTGAAATTACTAAATTTGATACCAGTAACGCCATCTATTGTGGAATAGGGTTCTTAAAATACTCTTTTATTACTCTATTATAAGTGCTAAAATGTTTGCTCTTTGTTTTTATAAGACTCTACGCTCTCTAAACAAAAGTATCTAGATATAATTTAAAAGAATTTTAGCCAAAAACATCTGCCGTTTGCGGATGCATTATTAACACAAAAACTATCACTGTATTCATAATATGAGAAAGATAAGTATAAGTTTCATACTCAGCTGTAATAAAACCTGTTTTTCTTTATGCTCTTTTACACTCTATACCTACTCTTTCTCTCTTGTTTGCTTTAACCTAGGCTACCTTACTCTCTCTCTGTGTATATAGTTTAGCCTCTCTTTTACACCCTCTCTATTAGGGTAGCTGTATTGTTGTTTACTCTATATGTTAAATAAACTCATTTAGTTACGCTCTTATGACTTTCTATGGTTTTATACTCACAACCGAGGTATTGTAAGAACGTTAAGTGCATCACAAAATCAGTGTAGTTCGTTGCTTCATCGTGTACGGTTGTATACTACAGAGTAAAAGAAGAAACAAAAATTTATATCTATTTCTTTTCAAACTTAAGTTATAAACGTAAAAAAATATTTGAAAAATACGAAATTTTTTTTTTAAGAAAACCTAAACACATTTATATAAAACGAAATATTTAAATCAACCCAATACCGTGACTAAAGCGAACACTTGGATTATCGCTCACGGTTATAAACAAAACCTGAAATTTATAAAAAAAACAAAATATTTAATAATTTTTAAAGTGCTATAAAAGTGTTTAACAAAATTTTTTTGTGTTGACATTGGAAAAATTTTCATTATTTGAAAGTTGTTACTTTGGAAAAGAAAATTTCCAAAAAACCACAAGATTTAAAGGTGGGTGTCATAAAAACAAATCAAGAAAATCAAAAAAATTTTAAGAAAAAATCAAGTGCAAATTGTGGTTAAAACTAACAAGACTTATAAACTAAAGTTGAAAAGAAAAAAAAAAAAATAATTTAGAAAACTGAAATTTGTTTAAAAATTGAAAAAAATTAAAAAAAAAATCCAAAAAAAGTTTGAAAATTTTTAATATTTTTTTTCCAAAACCACAATTTCACTTAATTTTTAACAAAACCAAAGTGTTAAACCAACCCAAACTAATTTCCTTTTTTCTCTTTTTCTTAAAATTTTAGAATATGGAACTTTAACAGCTTAGTTAGTCTTTGTAACAAAAGCACCAAAAAACATCCCAAACATCTTTAAAATTATTCAAAACTTTTCATCAAAACGAAAAAAAAAAAACAAATTTTCATCTTCCTCGACAACAACAAAAAAACCTCAAATTAAACAACATGTTTCTACAAATTATCAGCATTTTAAGCGTCGTAATCGCTCTTATCTGCCCACAAATTCAGGCTTTAGCCAATTGTCCTCCCGGCTGTCAATGTGATGACAACACTTTAATTGTACAGTGCGGTGAGGGTCATCTAGATGTTCTACCCATCGCACTCAATCCCTCCATACAACGTTTGGTCATTAAGAATAATAAAATCAAGACCATCGATTCATCCATACAATTCTATGCTGAATTGACTTTTTTGGATTTATCTTCGAATCATTTGATGAATATACCGCAAAGAACTTTTGCCTATCAGCGTAAATTGCAAGAAGTCCATTTGCAGTACAATAAAATCGGTCAAATAAGCAATAAAACCTTTATTGGTTTAGCCGCTGTTACCGTTTTAAATTTGCGCGGTAATTTGATATCGGAATTGCATCAGGGCACTTTTGCTCCTTTGGGCAAAATAGAGGAATTGAATTTGGGTGAGAATCGTATTGGCTATATTGATCCCAAGGCTTTTGATGGTCTCACACAATTGAGAATTTTGTATTTGGATGATAATGCCTTGACCTCTATACCCGATCCTATACACTTTCAGGCCATGCCTTTGTTGGCTGAATTGTATTTGGGCATGAATAGTTTGTTGAGTGTGCCCTCTGCTGCCTTCCAGGATTTGAAAGGTTTAAGCAGTTTGAATTTGAAAGGAGCCGGTTTGCGTAATCTTTCGCATGATTCTTTCCAAGGTTTGGAGGCCTTAAGATCTTTGGATTTATCCGATAATCGTCTAACACGCATACCCTCGGTGAGCCTTAGCAAGTTGGAACGTTTGGAGGAATTGTTTTTGGGCCAAAATGATTTTGAAGCCATTTTGGAGGGTGCCTTTGTGGGCTTGAAACAATTGAAACGTTTAGAGATTACTGGCGCCTTGAAATTGAAACGTGTTATGAATGGTGCCTTTGCCTCCAACACTAATTTGGAATATTTGAATTTGGCCTCGAACAAAATGTTATTGGAGGTCCAAGAAGGAGCCTTAAGTGGTTTGCCTCATTTGAAATATGTCAACTTAAAGGCTAATGCCTTGACTACCTTGGCTGAGGGTTTATTCCCCTGGAAAGATTTGCAAACTTTGGATATCTCGGAGAATCCTATGGCCTGTGATTGTCGTGTTATGTGGTTGAGAAATTTACTTATTAGCAAAAACAATAGCAACGATAATGTGGGAGAAGTAGTGTGCGAATTCCCCGAACGTTTGAGAGGTGAAGAATTAAAGAATTTAAATCCTGCTGTTATGGGCTGCTCTCATACCGATCCCCGCAAACAGGCCTTGATTGGAGCTTTATTAGTAGGCACTGCCGCTACCGTCACCGCCTTGGCTTTGATTGTCTACCGATGCCGTCATAAGATTCGTGAATACTTGAAGGGTGGTTTGTTTGGTAACTCTGCCTTGGGCCGTAAAGAACGTGAATATCAAAAGACTTTCTGTGATGAAGACTATATGACTAGACATCAACATCATCCCTGCAGTTTGGGCATACATTCCACCTTCCCCAACACCTATACACCACATCATGTTAATCAACATCATTATGGACCCATGTGCACTCTGCCCGTTAATGGTGATCAAAAGAATTTCCAACAATTACAAGTACCCACTGGCACCATAATGGCTGATAAACAATCTATGAACTCAGCGAAAAATATAGAAGATTCTGCCTCTTTTGTTATGCATATGAAGACGGCTACAGCTCCTCCTCAGAAATTGAATCATTATACTAAACCTCATTTCCTGCAACAAACAGCAGCTGTAGGTGATTCCTGCTATTCCTATGCCGATTTGCCTATTGTCCATGATTCGGGTAATCAAGAGCATGTGCAACAGAATCTTAACTATCAACAGCAACCTTTGCACTATGGCACGTCTCACGATTACAGCAATAGTGTGGCCAGCAGTGAATTGGATCCCAATTATATCTACAGCAATACCCACTATTCAATGCCGGTAGAACAGCAGCAAACCTCCGCAATGAGAACCAAAACTCCTACACCACCACCCGTGCCACCAGCATTGCCCCTAAGAAATCCTCCTCAAATGTTAACAGTCTCCACCACTGGTCGCCGTTCCTTTAATCATGGTAGCAGCAAACACTCCAATAGCCAGCAGCAACAACAACAACAATCATCAGCAGCAGCAGCTGCAGTTGCTCACTCACAAACTATGCGTTATCAACACTGATCTTGGATGGAATCGGGTAGTTTAAAAAAACCCAAGAAACGTTATTTAGCTCCCACGGAAAAATATCCTTTGCAGCAAACTCCCTTAAGCTATTACCGGCAAAATCTAAGTATATGTGCTTAAACCAGGAGAGACTTAATTTCCCTTATTATTCCTGCAAAAAGGGAACCACTGTGATGTCAGACTATCGTTAATCTTAAAAAAAAAAACAAACACATTGTACAGAACCAATTTAAACACTAAAAAAAGACAAACAAACCAACAAAGACAATTAGTTATAGTTAAAACCTTTAAATATAAGTTTAATTTTAAGCAAAACCACAACAACAACAACATACATTTTTCGTATGTTTAAAATATCCCACTTTTGTATATAACTCACGATCTCTATAACACAACAAAAACAAAAAAAAAAAACTCATAATCATCAACTTCAACTTCATCTCTTCAAAACTTGTATAAATTAGTTATTAATGTTAAAACCCCCAGCACTGAAGTCATTATTATTTCTTTCTTTATTTTTAATTACAATTCTATTGTATTTATTTTTAAGTATTTTTTTTATATAAATAAAATTTTTTTTTAAAAACAAAATAATTAATAATTTATTGTATGTATTCAATGTTGATTTTGTTTTTAGTTCTTTTAGTTTAATACAAAAAAAAAAAAAAAACTTGACTATAGCTTGTAAATGCATATTTTTTGTAAAAATATTTTTATGTAAATTATTTAGTTAGTGATTTTTTTTAAGTAACAAAAAAACTATTAAAAAACAACAACAACAAACAAACAAAAATAAAAAGAAATAAAATATAAATTTTATTAAAAATATAAATTTTCTATGGTGTTATTATTTTAAAACTAAAAAGGGGGAATTAAGAGTTTAACTCTTCCAGGGAAAGACCACTCACACATACTTAAGCTTTCACATGTATAAATAACAAACGAAAACCATTAGAGAGTACATTTATAGCTCTCTAACGATGACTGCTTTAAACTACTCTTAAAGGAAGGAAACAGCCAAGGTTACATCTTAAACATGCTTACACTAATACACATACATACATATACATATGTATATGATGTATGTATGTATGTCAATTGCCTACCTACCTATCTTACAAATACCTCAACTAACTGCATAGTTATTTGAACAGTTTTATAACCTTGAAGAAAAGTAATTGACTTCTAATAACCGGAGTTAGTTTAACTTAATCGTTAAGAGACAGTTTAAGAGTGTGCAAAAACTAATTACCGTTTACTCTATGTAGTAAAGCAGGTACATCTGACAAAGAACGTCCTCATACTACATACTTATACACAAATTTAATAAGTTTAGATTAGGTGGATAGAAGGATGTATACTACATCAAATCCGAAGAAATATACCTAGGCCACTATCGGGAATGTTGTGCGCTCCTTTTCATGAAAAAAAATTTATTATTTTTCAATGTTCGGAAACTCAAATTCCTGGAAGTAATATCTGAGAATTTTCCAATCAGTGTTAGTCAAGAATGTTATTTTCGGTATAACAACACTTTCAAGATACTTGCATCTAACTTCGACGACCTCTTCACATGCTCTACATTTGTCAGAATACGCACGTGTAATTTTGTATAGATGTGCTCGTAATACCATGTGTCCACTTAGAATACGTACCAAAATACTAACTTCAGACTTGTTCAATTTGAAGAGATTTCTCATCTTGTTCTCATCAGGGTCATCCCATAGGATCTTTGTGGTTCTATCCACAGTTTTGTTATTCCATGGGTGAGACCCTTTGCTTTCGTCAGGTTAACTACCTCGAGCTACTTTCCCTTTAAAGCAATTACATTCGCCCTTTCGTTACCGACTTCTCCAGAGTGGCCTGCTAGCCATATGATGTAAACCTTACCTCAGGGAGAATGTTCGGTTAAAGATTTCCTACCATACAATACGGTCTTAGGTTTAACTCTATCACCTGATATCACCCTAATTGCCTTCTGGCTGTTGATTAATATATTAAGGGCTGTAGGCGCCATATTCTAATCCAATTTACACATTCCGTTATTGCTTCTGTCTGGACTTGTGTCTGGAAGCTTGTGTTATGATTAGATAAACGGTGATATATTTCAGTTTCTGGGTCTTCAATTTAGAGCCATCCGTGTAACAACGGATTCCTACTGGTGTTACGCTTGACCAAGACATTCCATCTCGGATCAGCGTTTCAAGGTTTCCGACATATTATGTGTCTGGTATGCGATCAGGCAGCTAAAATGATTGTATATAACCTTCCAATGTGTCCAGTATACATTGAGGACGTGTCCTATAACCGCTTTTTACCAGTTCGCCTAAAGTAAAGAGCCGTTCGGTTGTAAGCACAGCCTCATATCTTAAATATGTTTCAATGGGTGGAAAATCTAGCAACGTTTACAGAGCCCTGGTTAAAGTAGTACACATGGCACCAATTATATCCAAGCAGCATGTCTGAACTCACCGCAGTAGCTTGCATAAGCATAAGCTAAAATTTGTCTAATTATACTTTTATAAAACCAATTTGTGATATTAGAAATAAGACACCATTTCTTGACTATAGTTTTGTTCTAGCTCTGTTCTAGTTCTGTTCTAGTTCTGTTCTAGTACTGTTCTAGTTCTGTTCTAGTTCTGTTCTAGTTCTGTTCTAGTTCTGTTCTAGTTCTGTTCTAGTTCTGTTCTAGTTCTGTTCTAGTTCTGTTCTAGTTCTGTTCTGTTCTAGTTCTATTCTAGTTCTGTTCTAGATATGTTCTAGTTCTGCTCTAGTTCTGCTCTAGTTCTGCTCTAGTTCTGTTCTAGTTCTGTTTTAGTTCTGTTCTAGTTCTGTTCTAGTTCAGTTCTAGTTCTGATCTAGTTCTGTTCTAGTTCTGTTCTAGTTCTGTTCTAGTTCTGTTCTAGTTCTCTTCTAGTTCTCTTCTAGTTCTGTTCTAGTTCTGTTCTAGTTCTGTTCTAGTTCTGTTCTAGTTCTGTTCTAGTTCTGTTCTAGTTCTCTTCTAGTTCTGTTCTAGTTATGTTCTAGTTCTGTTCTGTTCTAGTTCTGTTCTAGTTCTGTTCTAGTTCTGTTCTAGTTCTGTTCTAGTTCTGTTCTAGTTCTGTTCTAGTTCTGTTCTAGTTCTGTTCTAGTTCTGTTCTAGTTCTGTTCTAGTTCTGTTCTAGTTCTGTTCTAGTTCTGTTCTAGTTTCTGTTCTAGTTCTGTTCTAGTTCTGTTCTAGTTCTGTTCTAGTTCTGTTCTAGTTCTGTTCTAGTTCTGTTCTAGTTCTGTTCTAGTTCTGTTCTAGTCTGTTCTAGTTCTGTTCTAGTTCTGTTCTAGTTCTGTTCTAGTTCTGTTCTAGTTCTGTTCTAGTTCTGTTCTAGTTCTGTTCTAGTTCTGTTCTAGTTCTGTTCTAGTTCTGTTCTAGTTCTGTTCTAGTTCTGTTCTAGTTCTGTTCTAGTTCTGTTCTAGTTCTGTTCTAGTTCTGTTCTAGTTCTGTTCTAGTTCTGTTCTAGTTCTGTTCTAGTTCTGTTCTAGTTCTGTTCTAGTTCTGTTCTAGTTCTGTTCTAGTTCTAGTTTCTAGTCTGTTCTAGTTCTGTTCTAGTTCTGTTCTAGTTCTGTTCTAGTTCTGTTCTAGTTCTGTTCTAGTTCTGTTCTAGTTCTGTTCTAGTTCTGTTCTAGTTCTGTTCTAGTTCTGTTCTAGTTCTGTTCTAGTTTTCTAGTTGTTCTAGTTCTGTTCCAATTCTGTTCTAGTTCTGTTCTAGTTCTAGTTCTGTTCTAGTTCTGATCTGTTCTAGTTTAAGTTCTATTCTTACTTTGGTTCTGTTCCGATTTTTTTGAGATCCTTTTCAGCTTAAACTTTCCGTAGACAAATTTGAATAAAAGTATAAAAGTAACCTAGTTTTAAAATAAAATACACAAATTTGTTATAGAAAACAACTCCATCTGTGTTAGTTACATAAATATAACAAAGATTGAGAACTTCATTGGTTTGTTTTTTTAGGTCACTTTCAATTGTTCTAATTACGAACATCTAGAAAATGAGTTTGCGATCTAAATAATATACGTAATACTGATAAGTAGCAAACATGGAAATCCCAATAAATATAGATCAATGTTTAGCAAATATTTGCTTTACTAACAGCAAATGAAACAAACAATTATTTAACAATGTAACATGAATAAATATTATTGAAAATGTTCGTAAAGTAATTTTGTGTTTAATAGATAAACAATATGTTATTTATCTATACCCTTTGGAATATGTTGTTGGAGAACAAGACACGTTGACAAATATTTTTTTAGACTAATAGGCGGACTGTGAGATGTTCCTGTTGATTATGAAGTTTTAAATACATTTCGGTTTGTCATGATGGAGATAAATAGTTTTTATATTCTTTTAGTTTTATATGTTGTTTCTATTTAATTTATTTATTACACTTTTAATTTGCACTAAAGTTTTAAACACTTACAACTGTGGCTTCCTTTTATATTTATTCGTATTTGTTTAGCAAACGAACTAAACAAAACGTAACATGATGATAAAGATAAAAACCACTTTTATTTCATAAACAATTTTCTATTTCCTTTATCATAGTTGTAACTAAATAAAAGAAAAAATGTTGTTGTACAAAAGTTATCATATATATATTACAAACTAAATTTAAATGCTAAAGTTAGAAAAGATATGTTTTCTAAAGAAAAAAAAATCTATATACAAAACAATAATGAAAACAACATCATGATTATCTTGACAACATCATTACCAACCAACTTCAATTCTTTTGAACCTTTTTAATTTTGTTCTTCGTCATAAAGAAAACTACAACTTCCTCTCTGCAACTCCCTTTTTTTTATTGAAACTAGAGAAAAAGCTTTTGAAATGATATTTCACTTTGTAGTCGTACTCATACATATATGACAATGATTAACCAACAAACCACCCTGCTGCCCCTGAGTTGAAAACAACATTTCCTATTCCCTGCATCAGTTGTAGTCTGAATAGTTGGTTTGTTTTCATAAAAAAAGAAATATAATTCTTTTGTTAAATTCATTTGTAGTTCGTATGTTGTCTACTTTTTTTTTTGTTCTCTCATTTTATGACACAATATGTCTCTGTACACCTTGTAGCCGTAGCTTGTAATACTAATAGCAGCAGCTTCTAGTATGTAGATGAAGTTGTCTTTATACAGAAATTTACTTTTGTTTGTAGTATGTATTTCAATTCATTGCAGCATGAAATTTCTTTAAAATTTTATATTTTTATTTTTCTTTAATACAACGTAAAAAGAAATAAACAAACCTTTTCATGTGTTATTTTTAATTTTAATATGTTAACAATTTCCTCATGCAACACAATACATGAAAATTGTGTCCATTGAAAGAGAGGAAGTAGATTAATTTGTTCGCAAGACTTGTAACGCAGGCGAATTGAACTAAAACTGAACTAGAACTGAACTGGAACTGAAACAGAACAGAACTCGAACTGAACTGGAACTGAAATAGAACAGAACTGAAACAGAACTAGAAAGAACTAGAGAAAGAAACTAGAACAGAACTAGAACAGAACTAGAACAGAACTAGAACAGAACTAGAACAGAACTAGAACAGAACTAGAACAGAACTAGAACAGAACTAGAACAGAACTAGAACAGAACTAGAACAGAACTAGAACAGAACTAGAACAGAACTAGAACAGAACTAGAACAGAACTAGAACAGAACTAGAACAGAACTAGAACAGAACTAGAACAGAACTAGAACAGAACTAGAACAGAACTAGAACAAACTAGAACAGAACTAGAACAGAACTAGAACAGAACTAGAACAGAACTAGAACAGAA